CACGTCAAATTGAAATATCACAGACTAGCAAATTTGTTGAACATCCTTATTTTGTTTTTTTCCGCTTCATTCCTTGATCACCGATGCACAAGTCGACTCTTGCAAGTTGCCTTTATTACGCCATTTTCATGTTGAAGGGGTTGATGTCTACATGTACACAGAAATACAATATTAATGCATCAAGTCCCATTAATATCGAGTAAAAGTACATGTTTTATCTATCAAAATCGTAACGTTTTATAATGCTATCAAATGTAATTGAATTCATATAAAAATAATTCATAAAAGGTTTATTACTATGAATAATTATCAAAATATCAAATTACCTTTTTATTAATTGTTCATTATAAAACAAATATTTTATGAACATATTTTAAAATATTATCAAATCCATCATGTTTTTACGCATACATAAAATAGTCAGGATACCTTCTACCCAATCACTAAAAACAATAAAAATGGTGGGTTCATTGAACATTAAAAATAATCAACTTCAATCACATACTAAAAAAACACATAAAAACCATATTTAATATTATAACATCAAACATCTTAATATTAAACTTTTAATATATATATATATATATATATATATATAATTATAAAAACTTTAGATTATATTAATATAGGGGCTTACTTTATTAACCTTCAAATATATAGGCCAACATTTTTTTACTTCCATCTTTGTAGTGTTTTGGTATTGGTTTTGGAGATGAAAACACATCCATTTTTGTGTTTTTAGTGTTGGGTTAAAGTTGGTTAACTCTTGCATGATACGGCAAAACAAGGATCCTTTAATAGACAAACAATTAAAGTTAACCGAACAATAAACGTCGGAAATGTTACATAATTGAGGGGTGCTCATTTTGTCATTTGTCAAAGATAGTTGTCTCTTATTTAAAATGTCGTCTCTCATCATTTCGAACTAAATGCAGTTGAATGGCTTTCAAGTTTCAAAAAAGGTCAACTTGTTGGTTGTTCAAGTACAAGGCATAATACATGAGAATTGAAAATATGATAATCTAATAATGGTGTTCTTAAACGTGAATTCTAACAATTTTATAATTAGGATCTCATTCCGATATTAAAACAACTAATCATTGATGCACACACAAATTCTATTAATATTAGTTTAGTATGTACTTCATCTTCTCTTCTCCTTGTTAGTTCTCTGCACCAACACATAAAATAAATGATAAAATAAGGCAAATAAGAATAAGTTGATACAAGGAATGTCAAAGACTACCAAACATCACAATTATAATTCCCATCGATGACAATCAGACTATATATGTTTGTTAAAGTCTTAATTTGGGTTTGTGGTTAGATGCATGTTTTCACGTATCGTTTCTATATATGTAGTTACTTATATTTGGATGAGGCTTAGAAAATACCTTCTCTCTTTAATTTCTTGCTCCTACGGTGTAAGTTTCTGTGAATAAAAATAACGATCGTATATCATTCAAATGAGGGTTGGGAAATACGTTATCTCTTTTAAATAACGATTGTATATCGGTGGCCTTTGTCAGACTTACAAGTATATAATTTTTTTTTTGATATTTGTCGATGTGAATAAATAATAACATACAAATGCAAGTAAATGCAACCATTTTATCCACACCTACAAGTATGAAGATTTAGATGTGGACAAATTTCTTCATCAAGTACGAAGCATATACTTCATCATTTTAACAATTTTGAATACATAAATATAAACGAAAATGTGTAGAATCAATTTGATCAAGTGATAGGGACAACAAGTATAACCACAAAAGTATTAGTGATTTTGATATATAGTTTAGTAACTCGTAGTTACATTATATTGTCGAGTAGGAAAAAATAATCTGAAGCCACTACCATATATGCGTAGAAACTACGTACTACTATATGAATAAGCAAAATATGATTTTAATTAATTTTTTCATACATAAACACACTACTCGTTTTACTTGATAATACACATACATACAAAATCATCGGTGATAATCACGCATATAAAAACATCGACAATTCTTTTTTCTTACAAACATGTTAAGAAATTTATTCCATAATTTGAAAAAAGAAAACAAGAACTTTACAGTTTCACTTCTATGGTTGGTAATAAAATTAAAAGCTAGAAACTAGATTAAAGTTTGAAATTTAGATTGACCAAAAAAAAACAAGGGCAACGAATCAAGGCACTTCTGATTTTATTGTTATAAAATTGGGAGAGAATATTTCATGGTTGCTAAAAAAAAATAGTAAGGAATTGGTATATCATTGAGGTTGACTAATGGCTTTCTCAAATTCAAGACTCCGAACTATATTTAAAGGTATCATTGCCATCTCGAAAAACACAAACAAAAACCAAATAAGTTCCCAAGAAGAGCACAAGATCGATTACTAACTCATGGCCCCTTCCACTTCCTTCTTTTACCCTGACCTCTTCTTCTGTCTTCTTCTCCTCCTTCAAGCCTCACCATGTCCCGCCGCAGGTGGATCGTGGTCCGTCCTCCTCCCAAGCATTGGCATCTCCGCCATGCACATGCAGCTACTTCCCAACGACCGTGTTGTCATGTATGACCGCACCGATTTTGGAATCTCCAATATCTCTCTTCCAGATGGCAAATGCCGGCCCAACTCAACCGACTGCTCTGCTCACTCCGTCGAGTATGATATTACATCGAATTCCATACGTCCACTTATGGTGCTCACTAATGTCTGGTGTTCCTCGGGAACTTTAATGCCCGATGGAAGATTGGTCCAAACTGGTGGCTGGGATGATGGTTATCGTGTTGTCCGTATTTATAAATCATGTGATTCTTGTGATTGGCAAGAGATACCAAACGGCTTGAATCAACAAAGATGGTATGCCACCAATCATATATTGCCTGATGGCAGGCAAATTATCATTGGTGGTCGCATAGCATTTAACTATGAGTTCTACCCAAAGATGTCAACGACAGAGAACTCACCTAGTTTGCCGTTTCTTGTGCAAACCAATGATCCGAACGTTGAGAATAATTTATACCCATTTGTATTTCTCAATCCCGATGGAAATCTGTTCGTGTTTGCCAACAATCGTGCTATTTTATTGGACTACTCCAAGAACCAAGTTCTCAAGACTTACCCAACAATGCCCGATGGTCAACCAAGAAATTACCCAAGCACGGGCTCTGCWGTACTACTCCCTTTGCGGATAAAAAACGGAACCGTAAATGCTGTTGAAGTCTTGGTTTGCGGGGGTGCACCAAAAGGAGCCTTTGTTAACGCAAATAATGGGAAATTTGACGGAGCCTTGGATACTTGCGGCCGCATCAAAATATCGGACCCTRACCCTCAATGGGTCATGGARACCATGCCTATGGCTCGAGTCATGAGTGACATGTTGTTGCTCCCCAATGCCCAAATTTTGATCATCAATGGCGTATCCGCTGGGGTTGCTGGGTGGGAACTTGGAAGGAACCCAGTTCTCAGCCCTGTAATTTACCAAGCAGATAACCAAGCAGGGTCACGATTCGAGGTCCAAAACCCCAGCACGATACCTAGAGTTTACCATTCCACAGCGGTTTTACTACGAGATGGACGTGTTCTTATCGGTGGAAGTAATGCACACGATAAATATGAATTCACAAATGTCCTTTACCCTACCGAATTGAGTTTGGAGGCGTTTTCTCCATCTTATTTGGATTCAAACTTCTCTGATTTACGCCCAAGAATAATCTTGCCTGTAAAAAACTCTAAAATCCGGTACGGTAACCAGTTGGTTATTGTATTTACCGTGTCTGGCATTGTGGATCCAAGCTCAGTATTTGTGACAATGGTGGCACCTTCGTTCAACACACACTCGTTTTCTATGAATCAAAGATTACTAGTACTTGATGGTGGTGTCGCTAACAAGATTCTGGGAAAGTCAAGGTACCAGGTTGTTGTGACGACGCCACCTTCTGGTAACATTGCTCCGGTAGGGAATTATCTTCTATTTGTGGTTCACAAAGGGATCCCAAGTCCAGGTGTTTGGGTTCAGATGCAGTGATAAAATTTGACAACATATTTGTCGTCATCTTCAATTGTACACTTATTTCTTAATTGGATTTTCTTGTAAAATGACTTAAAATTTGATATGTAAAGATTGTTTGATGTGTTATTTTGATTAAATTTCATAAAGAATGAAAAAGATGCCTTCAAGTAGAGTGGAAGTCCTATCAAATTATATGCATTCAAGTTTGTAAAACAGCTAGTAGGAACTTTGAAAGAAACCTGTTCTCAGCCCTTTAACTTACAAACCAGATCTCCAAATTGGGTCCCAATTCAAGGTTCAGAATCCAAGCACAAAACCTAGAATATACTATTCCCACTACAACAAAAATGACTTTCAGAGAAGCTTTTGTTTTGTACTTAAAAGTCTTAAAAGCTTCTTTAAAGCTTTTAGATAAGCTTTTCAATTTTGTCAAAGACCTTCTCTGTGTAACGGTAGGTAAAGGTTTTAGAGAGGGTTTTCGAAGGGTGTGTTTTTGTTAGTCTTTAGAGATGCTTAATTGAGGCTTTAGATACACTTTTAAAACTTCTCTAAAGGTTAGTCAACTTTTTATTCAAAGCTTCTCTAAAAGTATATATATTAGTGACACTTTT